ATGCATTCGACGAAGAGTCGTGAAGTTTGACTACACCTGCACAGGTCACTAATGACTTCATCTTTCCCCAGACCTCAGGCCAACTTGTTTCTTTATCACATAAACCTAATATTCCAAACTCGAGGAGGTGACTGGAGACTTGGGTCTCCTACCTCCTCACAATTGGAGCCTTGTAAATAAACTTTCTTTTGCAAAGCTCCTCATTTCAGGCCTTGACCTGTCAGCCTCTTGGGTAAAACCAAGGTGCATGGCAGGGGTAGGGCATGGAAGAAGCTGGATGCGTCTTTGCCCAACCAAGTGAGATTTTACCCAGGACTCCATTACTTAATCTGAGAGTTGTGAAGACCCTGGTCATTGGACACACTCTTATTACTAAATATACAGTATATCACTCCAAAGACAGTCCCAAGTGATTTTTTTTGATCATCTGGGCCATGGCTCCTCTGACTTCCGTTGCCATTTGTGCCTCCATTTCTTCCTAGAAAACTGTTACCCCAGGCTACCACAGACCACATCTGGTCCAAAAAGGAACCTTGATGAGAACGCTTTGCAGCAGGTCTTTCCCCCTAGCCCTGAAGCCTCAGCTGGGTGTTAGAGCACTGTAATTCATGCCAAAGGTTGCTCCTTGCAATTTCTCTTTCCCTCCCTTTCCCCCTGCTTCCCTCCCCCAGTGGGAGAGGAAAAGCAGCTATGCTTATAGAAAGATTGATTAGTTAAGCAAGTCAATTATATCTCTTGCCGAGAGCAACTGTATATTAAGTAATGCAGCAAAAATGATTGTCTGCACAGATCCATTTTGTCGAACAGCTGTTCCAGAGGCCCGGAAAGAGAAGACGAAGGTTAAAATCCCGTAATAGTCTTCGCTCCCCATCTCACTCCACCCCATCATGCCTGGCCCTCCGGGGGCTCCATTTATTATGAGATGGAATAAGGTTGGGTAATGAGCTTGCTGGCAGCCTGCTCCATTTTGTGGGAAAACTCCCCTGCCATGCCATGGGCTCCTGGGCCTCCATCAGCACTGGCCCTGCTGCCCTCCTGCCATGGGGGAGTTGACTGATGTGTGCTCACAAGCCAGCGCTTGCCTCATGCCTCCCAGCCCAACCCCATCCATTCTGATACTGGGGAAAGAGTTCTGGATGCAGAGTCCAGAGACCTGGGTTCATGTCCAGCGATTGAATGCCTGAACTTCGCTAAATCTTTCAATCTTTATGAGCCCTAGTTTTCTTGTTAGTAAAATGCAATAAAACTTAAAAGAGGTCATGTGTATGGATGGAACTGTAAGTCTATAACTACAGAATAAAATAATTAACGCTGTCTATTATTACACTAGACAAGGAAGAGAGGGAGAGGGGAAAGCGTGTGTGCTATTGTGCTATTTACTGGGTGCAGGGCAGGACCATTAAGTAGTTCAGCCACAAGTACTAAAAAAAAAAAAAAAAAAAAAAAAGACCAGATGTTCATGTGCCACATTTAATCAACCCATGCCCCTTCTCCTTAATTACTAGAGCAAGTATGGAGGATTTGCTTCCCCAACTTATGCCACCCTATCCCTTGGGTTATATATACTCTTTTTAAAGTTTCCATCCTATAAGGCTGCCTTTAGAGTTTACCTTAATCCAGTTTCCCTTGTTTATTAAATGTGATTTATGGGGCCCCTTGTCCCTAGCCACTGTGACACTAGAAGTAGCTGATCCCTTTGCCCCTAGTAGATATTCAGGTTGATGCTTGGTATGACAATGGGAAGGCATCAGGGGACACTTGCTTTATCTATTCCTGGGGTATCTACAAGAGTGTTTGGGCTGGGTGCGGTGGTGCACGCCTATAATCCCAGAATCTTGGGAGACTGAGACTGGAGGATTGTGAGTTCAAAGCCAGCCTCAGCAACATAGCAAGGTGCTAAACAACTCAGTGAGACCCTGTCTCTAAATAAAATACAAAAATAGGGCTAGGCGTGGCTAAGTGGCTGGGTGCTCCTGAGTTCAATCCCCAATACCGCCCTCTCCCCCCCAAAAGAAAACCTATTTGGGGCCAGGCTAATGGTCATTCCCTTTTTCCTGCTTATTTTTGGGGGAGATTTAGCCAAATAGGTTCAAGTTTCTATTCTAGGTTGAACTCTTCACCCTTGTCAGAGGATGTCTCATATCTTTTTTTTTTTGTTGCAAGAGAGTAATAAAGGGCTTGTCCTCCTACCTGTCACTGTCCCTTTATGCCTCTGGTAGAGGATTTTGTCCTTGTTAGAAGATCATGCGTCTTCTGAGTTAGGAGAAGAAATCTTTGGCGTTACCATTTGCATGCTCTTCACTATAAACAAGTCTACTAGCTCCCTCTTAGAAGGACACAGTGTTGGAGGAGCCTCTGGGCATAAGGAAACTGAGACATAGAAACCGCCATACCTCAGCAACTTGCAGCAAAGCTGATAGAATCTGGTCTTCTGAGTTCTGATGAACTTCTTCCACAGGGCATCTGCTGCCCTTTTGGAGAGTGGGTTTTGACAAGGAGAAGCAAGGGCAGGTTGGCTGTGTGCTGTCACTGTGCTAAGGGGGTCAAGTGCTTTCCGCACCTGGGGCACAGCAGTGTTCTAAGTGAGTCTCTGGTTTCCAGAAGAGCAGCCCTTCCCTGACCTGATGGATCCTGAGCATCCAGGTCCATGGCTCAGATCCAGGTCAGACCCATTGTCCTGGGCTCTCTCTTCTTGGCCTTCAGGGCTGAGGGACTCTACTTCCTCTGGTATTTGAAAGGTTTCACAGTTTCATTTTCCAACCCTTAGGCCACATGTGGGCACTTAGCATAGAAATGGCTGCTTTCCCCCCTGTTTACCTCTCCCAGATCCGTAAATAGGACTCTGTGAGTGTGTGTAGAAGGGTGGGTAGTGGGGGGTAGCAGTGATGCTGGTGGTGACCCACATGGGCACCCAGCCTTGGAAATGGGCCCTCAGCTAGCAGAGGCCTCTGAGCAGGGACAGACAAGGTGAGCATTGCTGTTATTTCAGGGAAATGGCCTGGGAAATGACTACCTGGGCACCGTTTCTCATAGTATCCCAGAGCTGGGATACTAGGAGCCTCAGTGCCAGCGTCTGAAGCTGAAATCCCTTTGCCAACCCTCCTGCCGGGTCATCTCCTGTCTTCAGTGGAAACTTTCGTGTTGCCCAGTCTGCAGAGCAAGATCCTGACTCTGGAGTACACCTGGGACTGGATGTTTATTCCAATTAGAAGGTAATGGGCTGGAGGTTTGAGGTTCAGCCTCTGATACTTCCTTCCTCCTCTCTTCTCATTGAACACCAGAAGAGAAATGCCCCATTGATCTATTAGTGGATTAGAGAGTCTACTACCATTTTCTTGTCCCCTTAGGCATCTCTTAAGTACCCTCAAAGAAATGCCAGAAAAAAATGAGGAGACTTTTGGTGCATATTTCCGAATTTTCTTCTTGTTGAGAGTGGGAATGCAGGCCACCAGGGAGAGAAGGTGTTGGGGGAAGAGAGAGGAAGACCACCTTTCCTACCCAGAGACCTGGTCAGCTACAGCATAGAAACTCAGGTGACCAGAGTGCTGGGGAGGAGGTGGGTTTAGGAACCATCTAATCAAGTCCCTTTTCTTATGGATGAGAAAACCAGGTTGAAGAGGGGAACAGACCTTCCCCAGGTCACATGGTGAAGCCCTGATTCATCTGGTCTTACAGGAATCAGAGGAGGTACCATCCTTGTGGTGACTCATGGCAAAGTTATCTGAGGACAAACTTGAAGAGTTGAGGAATGGCAGGCCACTCCATCACCCACACATTTTGGGAAGCTCCTTTAGACCCAGAGAGCACATCCTGAAATCCAGGCTGAACCCACACATAAGGATGACAGTTCCCCACAGCTCTAGCTAACTTGTGTGCTGGCATGAATTGTGCCAAAGTCCAAGAAAGTGTCACTCCTCCCACAAAAAGTTAGACATCACTCTGTTCCAGCTAACTTTGCAAAGAAAGCACACAGGGGAATACAGGGACTCTCAGAAGCCTAAGAATTCAGCATCACCGTTATGCTTTTTTTTTTTTTTAAAGCCCATTTCTTTAAAAGGCGACATATCAGTGTGAGTGGGCTAATTGAATCCCTTCCCCAGGGCTCTCAGATGGAGAAGAGCAGGAAGGTGGAGTCAGAGAGAAAACTGGAAATTCAGAAAGAAAGATACATAAAGGGAGCCTGAAGCCATGAAGAGGGCTGGTCTTTGTTTTGCAGTGGTCCCCAGGCTACTGGGCTAGGGCTAGGGTGGGCTGACTGGCTGGAGGTGTGTTGTTGTGCGGGGAGCATAGATCTGAGGGTACCATGCGGGGTAGCATTGGCTATTACTGCCATATTTGGGCCAACATCAGTGTAATTACTGGAGGAACTGTATGCATCCTCTTCAAGGACTCTACCTTCCCTCCAGGGTCTCCCCTCCAGCCTTGCCTACGTGGTTAACTTCCAGGACAGCCTTTACCCTATCTTTGCTCCTGTAGAGTGACTGAATTTTCTACTACCAGGATGTGATGTGTCCCCTAGTTGATTGTAAGTTCTTGGGGACAGCCTTAGAAGGCACTAAAACAAGTTAGGCAGCTACCAGTCAGTCCCAGGCCTTCCCTGCTCTTGAGAGTCCCTGTAGTCCCCTGGGTGCTTCCTTTGCAAAGTTAGCTGGAACAGAGCGATGTCTAACTTTTTGTGGGAGGAGTGACACTTTCTTGGACTTTGACACATTCATGCTAGCACACAGGTTAACTAGAACTGTGGAGAACTGTCATCCTTATGTGTGGGTTCAGCCTGGATTTCAGGATGTGCCCTCTGGGTCTAAAGGAGCTTCCCAAAATGTGTGGGTGATGGAGTGGCCTGCCATTCCTCAACTCTTCAAGTTTGTCCTCAGATAACTTTGCCATGAGTTTCAGTAGCCCAGTTTCACTTATGATCCCCCATTCATGGTGTCCCAAGAAAGAGAAGGGCCCTTGTACCAGAGGTAGAGAAACATCTTTGAAAACAGTGTCCACTCCCCGTGCTAGAGGTCGTTGATGTGAGAGTTCTTATTTGCCCTGGATTTCCCCACATTCTGGAGAGGAAGGCAACAAGTTGAATTGAATAGGCAGGTTGTCCCCACAGCAGTACTCACAGAGTTCTGAGGGTTTTCTGAGTCCATGCCAAGCCTTGAAGATTTAACCTGCTTTGCTTTTATGTGCCCATCTTCTCTAGCAATGACTGGTAGCGGAAGCCTCTGAAGTGAGGGTAGATCCTAGAGAGAGAGGACCAAGGGGGCAGCCCTGAAGTAGATACTAAAAAATTGGCTGCCAGAGCCCCATGGAAATGCCTGGGGATGAGGCCCAGGATCTGATCTAACTTTTATGTTGTAATGAACATGGGAGAAAGAGAGAAACAGAGACAGAGACATGGAGATAGAGCAGGAATTGCAGCACATAATGAACCCTCTTTACAGTGAACTGTCAGAGAGATTTGTTAGCCAGAGTCCTTTCAGTGGAGAGAAGCTGAGGCTGGCTGGGGGATAAATGCTGTGTCTTGTGAGGAAATGTTGAAGGAAATGAACTCATCTAGTCTGGAGGCCAAGGGTGGAAGGGGTGTTATAACCATCTTCTGAAGGTATTGTCAGTAAGAGAAGAGACCCTGGTTCACTGGGTCCTTAGAGGGTATGCATAAGATGTGTGTAGAAACCATCAGAGAGCTGACCTTGGGCTCCACACAAGGAAGAGCTTTCAGTAGCTGGAGATGAGCGAGAGTGACCTCAACCTCCTCAGGAGGTGGCGAGTTCCTGGTCACTGGATGTAGGCCATCAAGCAGAGCCTGAAAAACCTCTTAAGGGGAGAGAGAGTGTGAGAGGCAGTTGGATTCTCTGTGGAGATGACTCCAACTGCAGTTGGGAATTTGGAGAAGGTGACCTTGAAGGCTCCTTTCAGTTGTATGTTCCTCAGGTTGAGGAGGCTTGAGCCACTGATGGGTCAGCTTCCAGGCAGAACATGGCTCATCTCAACTACTCTGGACCTACACCATCCTGAGAGGGAGATGGAGGACTCCAAAGGCTCCTAGACAGATGCAGGGCCACATGGGGATGAATCATTTGTGTGTGAGTCATGGTACCAGGTGTGGAATCAGTGGTTGAGGTTTCCATGGGGAACAGGAGATTTCCACCAGAACTATTTCCCAGCACAATGTACCAAGTTGCTCATGTAACTTGCTGGGGTATAGGAAGCAGGTAGATGTTCACATAAAGTTTAGAAAGTATGCATAGTAACAACAACAGCAAAAACAACAAATAGTGAAATTAGATGGACCTGGTTCTTAGTATCAGCTCTGTCAAATTCTCTAGGGAGGACCTTAGACAGTTACTTTTACTCCATGAAATCCATTATTTTTCCATCTGTGAAATGGGAATAATAATTTCTGTCTCACAGAGCTGTGTTGAAGGCTAAATCAGGCAATTTCAGTAAGTTATGGTGTTTAATGTCCAATCATGATTGGACTCAATAAAAGGGAGTTCTTCTTCTGCTAGGATCTGGGATTTCTCTGTGTCTCCTTCACTGTCTCTTGTCTGTGCCCCACCCCCCATGTCCTGTGTGAGGCCTGGTGTGTGTACTAAGTCCTTACTGGTGTTCTGACTGATAGGTGCCCACCTTGTGTAAGATACAGGGTCTTGAGAGCTGTCACTGACTATGGCTTTTTAAGAGGTGGACAGGCCTAGAGAAGCTCAAGGTCATGGCCTGCTCTCTGGAGATGTGTCATAGAAGAGCACAGAGGGATCACTGAAGGGGGATGCTGGGAGTCGGTGGAGGTTTCCACTGTGATGTCAAAATGGGCTGAAATGAGAACAAAATCATAAGCACTTGCACATTATCAACCACCATTATTAGGCAGTGCTTAATCCCTGTATCTTTAGGCATATATCTGTCCACTGTCAATGTGCTCACTTGCTCCAGACCTGTACCTCTGTTGAGATCTGACCTAGCAGGTGAGAAGTTGTTTAGCTGCAACTCTACAGAAATTTCTGGCCCATCATGGCACTGTCCCCTTGGGCAGTTTGGAAAACAAAGATGTGGTGGGGAGAAAGGAGGGACATAAAGATGATCCAGAAAATCCCAAAGAAGCAGCTGTCTCTCTTTCTCCTTAGTTTTCAGTTCTACATTCTGGGCTTTCTTGTATTCTGCAGCTATGGGTGATGTGAATACATCCCATCTGCTCTCTACAACCTCCTGAAACTTTCCTGTCATCTCCTTCAGTTAAATGTTTGTCAAAGTCAGAATAGTAGTGGACATACTGGACAAGGTTAAACTTGGAGGCTACTGTGTTGCTCTAGAGATTCTATAGGTGAGCAGGACATGGACAAAGTCTTGGACCACAAAGATATCCTACATAGAGAACTCTCTCTTTTCTATACAGAGAGATGATTAGGGGACTTTTAGAAGGAGTGAGTTCTCTCAAGTGTATTCACTGCCTCACATTCACTAAGACTTCTTGATTTTTTTTTTTTAGTGTTGACTATATAGTGGCTGATAAACAAATATTCATTAACAAAATGACATTATGCATCTTGTTGCATATACTCTGGATAAGGCACTTTGTAGGCACTCATTAATCCATAGCTCAACTGAGAAGCAGATATCATTGTCCCACTTTAGACCAGAGAATTGACTCTTGAGACATCTCAAGGTCACACAGTGTGGCTCCAGAGCCCATGTTTCTTCATCAATTCATCCTGTCCCTTGCCTCTTATTTTGAAAGTATAATTAGTTTGCATTATGTTGTATTTTCCCAGATGTATCTTTCAGTATTTCACTTAGTTCTTTCCATTTTCCAGAATTAGTTCTGCAAGTTTCACATGTGGATGTGTGATTACATTTTTTCTTTGAGTACTCTGCTCCTCTCCATCAAAAGGTCATGTGGTTGAAGCCACGAGGTTTCCCATGCCTGTTAAGAGATATTAGTATTCCTTTACATTTCAGTTATACTTTAAATACATAAATTATTTCCCCTTTTGGAAAATCCAAGTATCATTATTAAGATGAATAAAATAGATTCTGAGAACAGTTGGACAACATTTTCACCAACGGTTATTGTCAGTTATTGCTTTGTGTAGATCCAGGTATCTCAGGACTTGTGTGGAACAAACTCATTAGTGATTTCTCCAGGGTTTGTGCCATAAGTACAAAATATACTCTGAATTTTGAAGACATAGTACAAAAAAGTCCCATTAAAGTATCTATAAAATATTCCATTAATATTTTATATGTTTATTACCTGTTGAAGTAATAAGATTTTGGGTTAAATACATTAGATTAAATAAAATATATTAATACTTTCACTCTACTTTCTAGTTGGCTATGAGAAAATTTAAAATCACATATGTGTTTCACATTTGTGGCTTGCAGCATATTTCAATTCAACAATGTTGTCCTAGGGAATCCCTCCATTGTTATCCTTAATCAGTTCTTAAATTCTAGGTTAAAAACCAAAGTGATGTTAATTCAGCAAGAGGGCATAATAGTTGTACATAAATATGCCCCTGGCACTGATCTGAATCACTCAAATATATAAAGCAAATATTGATATGTCTAAAAGGAGAGAGATCATGCAATATAATAATAAGGGAATTCAACATTCCACTTCCAGTAATGGAGTGGTCATTCAGATAGAAAATTAACAAAGAAACATTAAAGTTGAAGTATACTACACTGTACTCCAGACCAAATCGAACCAAGAGACATTGACAAAACACATTATCCAACAGCTGCAGCACATATATTCTTCTCATCAACACATGGAATATTTTGCAGAATAGACCATATAGTAGATCATCAAAAAGTCTCAACAAATTTTAAAAAATTAAAGCCATATCAAGTATATTTTCAGACCATAACCGAATAAACCTAGAAATCAATAACAAGATGAATTTTGGAAGTTGTACATACACATGGAAATTAACAACATGCTCCAGAACAACCAATGAATCGATGAAAAAATTAAAAAGAAAATTTAAAAATCCCTTGAAACAAATGAAAATAGAAAGAACTGTTATGGCTTAAATATGAGGTGTCCCCCAAAAGCTCATGTGTGAGACAATGTAGGAAAGTTCAGAGATGAAGTGATTAGATTATGATGGCTATAACCTAATTGGTGGGTTAATCTACTGATATGTATACACTGGGTGGTAACTATATGCAGAGTGTGACTGGAGGAGGTGAGTCATTGGGGGGTGTCTTGGGGGTTTATATTTTGTCCCTTGTGAGGAGGGTGCTCCCCACCATCTCCACTATGCTTCCTGGTTACCATGTCCTGAGCTGCTTTTCTCCACCACCTTCTCCTGTGATCTTCTGTCTCATCTTGGGCCCAGAACTATGAAGTCAGCCATCCATGGGCTGAGTCTCAAACCAAAACAACCTTTTTCTTCTCTAGGTTGTTCTTGTCAATGGAAATATACCCACACTTATGGGACATAGTACCATCAGAACTAAGAGGGAAACTTGCAGAAATAAACACCTACATAAAAAAAGTAGAAAGATTTCAAATAAACAACCTAATAGTGCACTGCCAGGCCACAGAAATGCAAGAGCAAAACAAACTCAAAATTAGTAGAAGGAAGGAAGTAATAAAAATTGGAGCAGAAATAAACAAAATTGAGACTAAAAAGCAAAAGATGAATAAAACAAAAATTGCTTTTTTGAAAAAATAAACAAAACTGACAATTTTAGATAGATTAAGAAAAAAGAAGTTACATATAAAATGAGCCAAAATATAAAAATAAAAAGGAGATATAATAACTAGTACCACAGAAGTACAAAGCATCATTAGAGACTATTATGTGTAACTATACCACAGAAAAATCGGAAATTCTAGAAGAAACAAATTCCTCGACATAGGCAACCTATCAAGATTGAATCTTGAAGAAATTTAAAACCAGAACAGACCAATAATAAGTAGTGAGATTAAGTCAGTAATAAAAAATTCTCCCAAGAAAAGTCCAGAACTGAGCAGATTTACTGCTGAATTTTACAAAACTTTTAAAGAAGAAATGACATTAATTCTTTTTAAACAGTCTCAAAAAATTGAACTAGTGGTAATTCTTCCATGAAGCCAGCATTACCAGGATCCAAACCCAGACAAGAACACAACAAAAGAAGACTACAAGCCAATATCACAACAAAAACCTAGCAAATAAAATCCAAAAGCACACCAGAAAGATCATGCATGATTGATTGTAGATCCTCTTCTGAGAAGTGTCTGTTCAGTTCCTTGACCCATTTATTAATTGAGTTATTTGTGGGGTTTTTTTGGAGTTAAGGTTTTTGAGTGCTTTATATATCCTAGAGATTAGTGCTGTATCTAATATGCTTGTGATAAAGATTTGCTTCAGTTCTGTAGGCTCTCTATTCACCTCACTGATTGTTTCTTTTGCTGAGAAGGTTTTTAGTTTGAATCCATACCATTTATTGATTCTTGGTTTTAATTCTTGCACTATAGGAGTCTTATTAAGGAAATTGGGGCCTAATCCGACATGATGGAGATTTGGGCCTACTTTTTGTTCCATTAGGTGCAAGGTCTGTGGTTTAATTTCTAGGTCCTTGATCCACTAGGAGTTGAGTTTTGTGCATGGAGAGAGATAGTGGTTTAATTTAATTTTCTTACATGTGGATTTCCAGTTTTCCCAGCACCATTTGTTGAAGAGGCTATCTATTCTCCAATGTATGTTTTTGGCGCTTTTGTCTAATATTATATAAGATAACTGTAGTTATGTGGGTTAGTCTCTGTGTTCTCTATTCTGTACCATTGGTCTATAGGTCTATTTTGGTGCCAATACCATGCTGTTTTTGTTACTATAGCTGTGTAGTATAGTTTAAGGTTTGGAATAGTAATGCCACCAGCTTCACTCTTCTGGCTAAAGCAGCTGCTAGAAGAACATTAACAGAATTTAGAACAAAAATGAGAAAAAGATAAAATTTTATACCCTTTCATGATTTCAAAAAACTCTACAGGCTGAGTGTGATAATGTATACTTGTAATTCCAGTGGCTCAGGAGACTGAGGCAGGAGGACAGCAAGTTTGAGGCCAGCCTCAGCAATTTAGCAAGGCTCTGAGCAACTTAGCAAGATCCTGTCTCAAAATAAAAAAATAGAAAGAGATGGGTATATGGCTCAGTGGCTACACACCCCTGAGTTCAATCCTTGGTACCAGAACAACAATTACTAAAACAAAAACTCTACAGATTCAATGTAATTCCTATCAAAATACCAAAGGCATTCTTCATAGAAATAGAAAAGAAGCTTAAAATTCATTCAGAAATGTAAAAGACTCCAAATAAAAATCTTGAGTAAAAAAAGAATCAAACTGGGGGCATCATAATACCTGACTTCAAAATATACTGCAAAGCTATAGTAACCAAAGCAGTATGGTACTGGCATAAAAACAGAAACACAGACCAATGGAATGTATTAGAGAATCCAGAAATAAATACGAGTACTTATAGGTAGCTGATTTTGCAACAGCACCAAAAAGGAATATCAGGGGGAAAACAGTCTCATCAATAAATGGTATTAGAAAAACTAGATATTATATACAGAAGAATGAAACTAAGCCCATATCTCTCATCATGTACAAACATAAATAAATGCTGATGAGGATGCAGAGGAGGAGAACTCTTAAGCATTGCCGATGAGCACACATTAGTACAGCCAATATAGAAAACAATAGGATTTCCTCAAAACACTAAGAACAGGACTATCCTGTGAT